TTATCAGGATTAGACATGGCTTCAAAGTTAGAGTCTGTCATGATATTGAGTGGTTTCTCTCCCTCGCATTCCCAGAATTTGTATTGGCTTGTCCAGACACAAAAGGAATAGGCTTTGCACTTTGCTGTACACTGGCACCACAAATGGGTAGTTTATCTAGACCAACATAGTGATACTGCATTATCAGCCCAACAAAGATCTGATAATCAGCACTGCAGCTGCCAGGGGTTACTGAAAACATAGGATGGTTGTTAGATAAAACACAGATTTTCACATTGAGCATATCAGCAATTGCCTGCATAGTTAAACGTGTAGTCCGCGGATAAAATACCTGCTAAGCGCTTCTTGCGCGCTCACAGCTCGCGCAATTGCAGAGGCGGAGTCGCTTCCGTGCACATGCGTATAAAAGGGGCGGTGCCTGGCACAAACATGGCGGCGGTAAAATTCAAAAACGTACCAGAAGGCAAGTGTATGGAGCCTTCGTTTGTACCGCTAGCGCAACGCTGGAACAACATAGCTGCGGTGCATAACACGGATTGGATAATAAAATGTGCGCACGCGCGTGACACGTGTATATAATACGTATAGTGAAGTGCGTGCAAGCTGGCTGTATGGCTCAGTCTTCCTCCTGTTCCTCAGGACTCTGCTGAGGGCTAGGGCTAGGGCTAGTTCCTCAGGACTCTGCTGATGGAAAGAACAAGATAAATAATATCAGCTATGTCAAAGAGCTTCGCCATTAGCTCGACCGGCTTCAATGGAGGTGCTCCCGCAGGAGCGAGAGCGGACTTTAGAACTTCCATTCGCTCCTTGAACGCTGCCATTGTGTCAGTGTTGCCAAACGTTAGCTGGAGAGTCAAAACGTGGGCCGCCGGCCCTCGGTTTCTTGGCCGCTGGAGGTTCAGACATTCATGTGCAAGTAGCACAAGAAGCGCTGTTCAGCGCATTCATGTGCAAGAAGCGCTGATTTAGCATTGAGAGGCTTTTATTAGGACAAACGCAGCGTGTTTTAGTGCGTGGAAACAGATGCGTGGTAGCCAGCGGCTCAGGAAGTGAAGAGACAGTAGTTTGAACACCGCCATTTTGTCACGGTGTGCGCTAAAGTTAATAGATTTTTGCCTGGCACGCCCCTTTTTATACGCGGACTACACGTTTAAGTGGTCACCCCAGGCTCCCTGTCTTAAACATCTCACATATTTCTGCCATCTAAGTTCAGTTTGCAAATGTGGATCTGCTACACTTTCTATGTACTCATCTTCAGCTGTGGGCTGTGCTGTATCTGCATTATAGTCATCATCCTCAGAGGGTAAAGGTTGGCACAGGAAATCACGATACAAAGCTGCATTTGCTTCCAAATGGTCAGCTACCTTTTGTCTCAATTCACTACTGTCAGCATCACATACATTAGCGTTCTGTAGCTGATACGAGACAGCACTGAACATACAATCGCCATCATATAGTACATCATGAATGGTAAAACTGTTCTGACTGGCCAATGCTTTTAGCTGTTGTAAGGCTGTGGAAAACTCATTGCTATCATCAGAAATGCTGGAATACTCCATTGGCTTACTTTCGACATTCACAGCTACATTTACAGGAGCATTGCTCTCATGCTGCTCACATTCAGTATCCATGTTCTCGTCTTCTTGCTCTACTAAAAACTTACAAAGCTCTTCATCATTAGCCATCGCTTCTTCCACCCATTGTTCGTTAACATCAATGTCAGCGTACAGTAGGTTGTTGGCCTTCAAATATCTCAATGCATGAAAGAGTTTCTGTGGCCTTATGTAATCATACATGTAATGGCCTCGGTATGCAACTTTACGCTTCAGTTTCAGTGGCACTAGCTCAGACTGGGAAGGCAAACGTGGCAACACATCACAAATGGTATCAACCTTTGATGGTACATTCACTGCTGGACCATGGATTGACCTTTGTTTACCAGACGGCAATGCTACCATTTTCATGAAAGGCACACGCAGGGAAATCAACCTCAATTCCAATGCATTTAGGCCAGAAAGTTCAGGTGGCACTTCACACAACTGTAAACCATTAGCCTTGGCTTGCAATGGCATGGACCCTCTTGTCAAGATCTATCGCAAGTTTTACAAATCCACTCTTTACCATCACTGCTAATACGGTTGAGGTTAGCACTAAACACATTTTGAAGCAAATCAGGACTAGCTTTAGCATATTTTCCTTTGTTGCACTGAACAACACTCTTTCTGTACATCATACGGTGGCAACATGTACATACAAAATAGGGACCAATTTTGATATGTGAGTGAAATGCAGAAATGGCACATTCTACTGGCACAACTCTGTTTCGCTTGGATTCTTTATGCTGCTTATCCTGTTGTCGCCTATGAATTGTCTGCACAACTGTTTCGGAGGCTCTCTGAGATAATTTACGCAGCTTATCCTGCTCTCGCCTGTGTGTCTGCTCAACTGTTTCTGAGGCTCTCTCGGATTTATTACGCTGCTTATCCTGTTCTCGTGATTGCTCATTTGTTTCTGTAGCCCTCATCCGCTTTTTGCGTAGTATTTCCTGCTCTTTGCTCGCTAATTTCTCGTTTTCCGATTCTAAGGTTCTTTTACGCTTCATTGCCTCCCTTTTGGCAATATATTCAGCTTTCCTTGGGAAGGCATGCCCGCAGCCGCACACTGCGCGTTTTACGTGCAATACGGTCCCGCACTGCAGACACACCTTCCTCAGGCTTGATCTGTCCATGAGAGTAACTCACGTGTATCCAGAGAGAGAGAGTGCACTTCAACCTAGCCGGCTGTCAGAAAATCTGTAAAGCTGTGTAAAACACGTCACACGTGGTTGCGCGTTGGTATACGCATGCTCAAAATCACGGCTGCATGCGCATGCCCACAAAACTGTTATATAGTCGCGCCAAGGCGCATGCGATTATATACGCACGCGCACCCGGCGAACTGCACATGCGCGGTACCGCTAATTGATGGGCTGGGCCTATTCTATTAATATACTCGTGATCTCGCACGCAGAGAGTCTGACACGGGCTAGCTACAGTAGTAGATAGCATGCGGGAGTCGATACATGCTCTTCGTTGTAGCTTCTTGTGCCTCCGAGGTACACAGAGCAAGCGGATCAGGTCCAGGTAAGCCAGTGCTAATTAGCATATTGGCTTGTTCACTTGGTTTTCACGCCATAACTTATGAATGCGGCACTTTTACGAAAATCGACTATTTTAAAATAAAGCCAGTGTAGCTGTGAACCCGCTGGTGTCGCTATTTTACTTGTTTGTTGCGCGTGGTGGCAGAAATCGTGGTAACATACGGACAGACGGACAGACAGACCAAGTACTGTAACCCTCGCTGCGCATGCGCGCCGCCGAGGGTTAAATATATATGTGGTGAGGGTAGTAGAGGAGAAGAGGAGAGAGGAAGAGGCGAGAGTAGAGAAGAAAAAGAAGGATGTAGAAGAGAGGGAGGAGGGAGGGGGGTAGGAGGGGAAGATAACAGAAAGAGTGGCAAGGGGGAGAGAGGAAGTCAACGATAGAAAAGAGGAGGGGGAGAGGGAGAAAAGAGAAGTAACAGGAGGAGGAGAGAGGGAGGGGTGGAGAGAGGGAAAAGAGACGAGAGAGAAAAGGAGGGAGAAAGAAGAGGGAGGAAGGAGGAGGGAGAGTGAGAGAGAGAGGTAGGGGAGAGATAAAGAAGAGGAGGAGGAGTAGTGAGGGAAGAATGAGGGGATGGGATAAAGAGATGAGAAAAGGGAAAAGGAGGGAGGGAGGGAGAGGAAGAGAGAGGGAGGGGGCGATGGATAGAGGAGAAAGAGAGAGGAGAGGAGGAGAAGCAGGGGGAGAGTAAGAAGGGGGATGAGGAAGAGAGGGAGGGGAGGGAGAGTGGGTAGAGAAAGAGAGGGGAGGAGGAGGAGGAGAGAAAGGTAGAGAGGGAAAGGAGAGAGAGGGGAGGGAGGAGGGAGAGGTAAAAGAGGAGAAGAGAAGGAGGGAGAGGAGAGAGAGAAGGATGGGGAGAGGAAGTAAAGGCGAGGGAGGTGGGAAGAGAGAGATGGAGGAGGTAGGGTGAGTGAGGAATAATGAGAGCGAAAATAGTGGTGAGGGAGAGGGAGGATGAAGAGAGAGGGGATGAGAGAGGAAGAGGCGATAGGAGGAAGGAGGAAGGAGGGAAGGGAGGAAAGGAGGAGGAGATAGGAGAAGGATGAGAGAGGGAAGGAGAGGAGGATGAGAGGAGAAGAAAAGAGTAGGAGGGAGGATGAGAAAGAGGGGGTCAGAAGAGAGAGGGGAGAGAGGGAAGAGAGAGAGGAGGAGGGAGAGAGGAGAGAGAGAATTGTAGGAGGAGGAGGGAGGAGAGGAAGAGGGAGAGAGGGTAGAGAAGAGGAGTAGAAGGGAGGGGAGGGGGGGAGAGGAGGGAAGAGAGAGAGGGGAGAGGGAGAGGGAGGAAAAGAGGATAGAGGAGGAGAGGAGGAGAGGATAAAAAGTAGGTAGTGAGGATGAGATATATATATATATAAAATATCATATATATAGTTTAGAACAAAAAAATCGCGGCCGTTTACACTAGGTAGCTCGCTCCGGTCGCAAATATATCCTTCGCTGCGCATGCGCGCCGAGGGTTAACTACCCTGGGTTACGGTGAGACTCGTGTTACTGGCCCAGTCGATGACGCACGGACCAGCATACAGCGATGCTACAACTCGCTAGTTTACTGCCGAGGGTTTGCACTTTAGTGCTTTTCATTTTCTCTATTACTAGTAGGCGAATGCATGGCATTTTTGGCGAGCGGGAGCGAGCACACAATGACTGTATCTGCACGAGCCTATTTACAACTTGAACCTTAGAACCACGAAGATTGGAAAGAGGTATATACAGCCTCGGTCACGTATCGAAGAGTGCAGCGAATGCCAGCGAATAGACAGATTTCGCATCGATATAACAGCTAGGCAGCGTGTAATAAAGAATAAGCGTGTTCCCTATCGCGCAAGCGACGCCGATACAGACGAGCCTCTCTCTGCTCAGGAGTCTCACCGGCATGATGTTCTCTTTCCCTCTCTTCGACGGCGAAGGGCATCTTCCCTGGACTGATCCATGATTGCGAGAGTAAGGAGCTACACACACACACTAGCTAGCTACATATGCTGTCAGGCAGGCAGCATGTGAAATTTAGAAATCCTTTCGGATAAAAAAAGCGCGTAATCCTGGAGCATGCGCAGTTTGACGACGTACGGTCGTAGATATTATATATGAGGAAAATTCCGCACCTTTCGTACCACTAGGTTAGCTTGCCCCTTCCACAGAGATAATACATAGTAGTATATAAAAATGAGTGGAGACAAGTAGTGGAGAGTAAAAATCCTGCGAATT